TCATTGGAATGCATTGGACGGAAAGTTCAATACATTCCAATGAGAGAAAATTTAAAAAATCACTAAAAATTAAGGACGACTCAGAACAACACCAAATTAAGTTTGCATAGGGTTCAGGAGGTGGGCTAATGATTGCAAGCATTTAAAACCTGTTCCAAACACTGTAAGGCACTTTTACAGGAGCGAAAAAGGACTTCGCAAAGCCATTGAAATGTATTGAGTCGGCTTCAATACATTCCAATGGAGGAAACATTGTTTCACTCAACGATGTTTCCTATGGGTTTTTTCACTTAAAGACGGCAATCTGTTCCAATTGGAACGGATTAACCGGTTTTCAATTCATTCCTATGGGAAATGGTGTTTCACAGAACGATGTTTCGCACAACGTTGATTTTTTTTGGAACCAATTAACATCGTTGTGTGAGAGGCACCACTGTATATATATTGTGTCACTGCAATCCAATACAATAGAGGTGTGGAAAGTATCGGAAGAACTACAGAAGACTACTGTGTGCTATTGTCCTTATTGCAGCTAAAACAATTCAGAAAAATGATCCACATAGCCTGGAACATAATTGTGAAGCTTGTGGAAGGTCTTGAAACCTCACTCAACCAACACCTCAATTTGTAATAAGTGTGTGTTTTAAGTTCAGAATGGTTTTGCTTTAATTCAGTCTCTACTGGATTCATTAGTTTCAACAACTAAAGACATTTCTAGTGACATGCTGGCTGTATCCCAGAAAGCCTAAAATCAGTTAATCAATACGGGCCTTAGAACCAGCAATCTTTTATTTATTTTTTATTTTATTTTATTTATATGCCGCCCACACTACCCAAAGGTCTCTGGGCAACAAATGACAATTTGTTGACTGTCGGAATAATATATTTTGTAAGATGATTAATACAGTAGGATTTGTTTCTTTGTGCCTAGAGCTAGGAAAGAGTACTGGGAGAATCTGCTGCCTGCTTCTGGCCGCCCGTATTGTCCATCACTGTCACATCCAGATAACTGGGGAGTGACCAAAGGAGATAAAGAGCTGATACAGCAGAAAGAAGCAACAACTGAACAGCAACTGAAAGAACTCTTCAACAAAGAGAAATTCAAATCTAAAGTTGTAGCTTAAATTATTAGCAATATCATATGTACTAAACCAACTCTATTAATGGATACCTGATAATAAATGAAAAGATACAGTGCTAGGGACAGAATTTGTTAATCACAAGCTTAATTATAATAAATTACAATTATGTAATATCATCTTTATGAAAAGTACTCTTAGCCATATGAATTTATGTGAAATTTAAGATTTTAAAGCACACGTTAACATTTCATTAAGTCCAATTCACAAAATGTAGAGAAAGTTCTTCATCCTCTAGTCCTCTTGAACTAATTTCAAGAATTCAGACTGCACTAAGAATTTAATGGAGAGAGGAAAGTTATTTTGCCTCCACTGACAAGATTTGGAGGATATTATAGGGGACAGGAAAACAAGAAGTAAAGGCTGGAGGCTCTGAATATAAGAAGTAAAGGCAGGAGACTCTGAATATCCAGGTGTTTTAAAACACTCAGGTGTGGCCCATTTGGGTCTCCCTATTCATACCCCTGAAACCTCCAAGAGAGAAAGGGCCATTCTGCAACTGAAGCACCTTTTCTATTGGCAGAGTAGCACTTACCAAGTTTCTTACAGTTCTTTAGCTTTTCAGTTGTTAGCTGTTCCCACTGCTAGCAACCCTTCAGTTTCACAGTAAGCCACATATAATTCAGTAGCTGCCTAGTGAATGTATTTACAATTGCATTTTAGCTTTCTTTGAACTGTGCGTTCTTTCTTAGATTAAGAGGATGTATCTGATGTAACAGAGCACTGTTTCTGAGACCCAAAATCTGTTACTTCTGAAGGAAATGTATTGCACAGTGTAAGAATCTGTAAGATGTAATTTCACTACAACTGTATAAACTTAATGGGAAATGGAAGAACATGGTACCAGAAATGTACAGTCTGTTTTTCAAATATTTCCTAGCTACAGTAACCATGACTTCATCAGTGAGTATGAGAAATCCATTCCAATAAATCTCTTTGGTGAACCTGAGATGATTTCTCGTATATTTACTTATATAATGATGTCAGTGGGCTTTTGCCAGCTTTAAAAATTAGGTTTCCATTGGTGTGAGGAACCAACAAGATCAGATGTTACAATATTTAACACGTTAACAGTTCTGACATGTATCTAATTAGAACTAAAATAAGAGGCTCAGCACAACACTTTGGTGGTCTTTGTATCCAATAGCAACGTTCTATGTCAATAAAGATCTGTAAATTAAGTTAGTGTCAGCTGTTATAACAATTCTATTGTAAACATGTAGTTAGGAAAAAAGGTAGACAATAGTTTAATTTCGCTTGTGGTTTAAATAATGCTATGAATATATACAACCTGTCATTATTGTAACTCTGATCTAAATGATGACAAATAGCTGAGAAATATGTACACATACAAGGAGCATTGTTTTTGCCACTTTAAGGCAGAAATTGCCAACTTCAGCAGATCTGAAAGCCAATGTCACTTCCCTCTCTTTCCTAAGACTGCACCACCGGCTTCCACTTGTTGGGGTTTTTGCATTATGTGAGATGTTCAACAAGTGGATTGTCGTTGCTGTCCCTACAATGAGTTTCTGTGGAAAAGCAGGGATTTTAATCCAGGCTGTCCTAAATCCTTGTTTGACACTCTATATTATGCCACATTGCCTTTCAAAACACTCAGGTAGCACAAAATTGCACTGTAGACCTGAACTTCAGTTCCTCCCTCCCTTGCACCATTCTTCAAAAAACATATTTTCCTCATTGTTCTAGAGCAACAGGTAGTCTTTCAGCAGGAACTGATTCCGCAGGAGTTGTGTTTGTACTTTCTTTGCACACAGTGAATGTACTGGGCTAGAATTTTCAGAGTCACAAGGAAGAGTAAGTTGGATGAAGTAATTTCATCCTCAATTATAGCTCTTTAGTTTAAATCAGTGTTCCCCAACCTTTTCGGACTGCGCCGGTTGGGGGGTGCTGGCTCCCTGCATGGACTGGATGGGGGGGTGGGGGCACCCCTGCGCTCATGGGTGGTCGTGTTGCACTTGCGGAGGGGTGTGTCGAGCTTATGCGCATGCGCGACATGCCCCTTAGACACACGTGCGTAACACACCCACCTCTTGGGTGAGCCCGGCCTTGAGCGGAGGGGAGGCGGCTTCACCATGTGGCCTGCTCAAGCCTGGAGGACCTCGAGCTGACGGGTGGAGCGCCTGACCCAGGCCTTCCGGGATGAGCGCTTCCGTGCCCTCTTGGCCAAGTATGCCACTGAGGTGGTGGCCCTGGAGTGCCAGCGGGTGCTGCAGACCAGCCAGGCTGGCCTCCGCCGCTGCTGCCTCCATCTCTGCACCCCCTTCCACCTTGATAAAAGATCTGGCGGCGGCGGTCACAAGCCTGGACTCCTTGCCTTCCCTGCAACCAGCGGTGTCTCAGTTCCTTGCAGCTGCCTGGCAGCAGCCGCTGGTCCCTGCCACACTGCCTAGCCCCCAGCCACCTGTAGTGGCGTCTATAGCAGGGTGGTGGGAAACTCTTCTCCATTCTCCACTTCAAATGCAAGGCTCCGCCAGAGTGACAACGGGGTGAGCGAGGGAGGCGAAGCCGGTGTGTGCGTGTGTGTTGGGAAATGGGAAAGCAGGCGGGGGCTCAGGCACCAACCTCCATGAGCTTGGAGGACTCCTCTTCCTCCTGCTCGAACTCTTCGTCTGGGCTGAAGCTGAGCTTGCCTAGGCCTTCCCCATCCAGTTCCCGCGGGGCCCGGTCATCGTAGTGAGGTGACAGAGGGCCAGGTGGCCCAGGAGCACGCCAGCTCCAGCCTCGCCTTGCCTGGACCACCCCAGGCCACACTCTTCGGGGAGTGCATGGTGAGGAGCGCTGGGAAGGACCCCGCTGAGGGTCCCCGCGCTGCCTCCCCTCCGACACTCTTCGGGGAGTGCATGGTGAGGAGCTCTGGGAAGGAACCCGCTGAGGGTCCCCACGCCGCCTCCCCTCCTGGGGACTTCCTTCCTGCCCAGAAGTGACTCACCCGCTCCCTCAGGGGAAAAGCTGGCCCCTGGCCAGCACCATTTTCTGTATGCCCCATTGCCCAGCAACAAGGGAGGTCATGCCGCCGGGAGATGAAGTCTGTGTGCCTTGCTGCGGCCCGTGGGAACTGTATTTTGCCCAGTCAGACTCGCCCCCATGGTTGTCACCCTCTGCTCCGACTCCGGCCTGCTCCTGGCCACTGGCGAAGGCTCCCGGCCCAGGCTTCACCAGGACCAGTAGGAAGACCACCAGCTGCCCCTTCTACCTTGATCGAGCCACCCCACCCCAAGTGCACCAGGCTGCAGCCACTGGTCCCTGCCACACTGCCTGGCTCCCAGCCGCGAGGAGCTGTGCTGCCACTGGTTACAGCGAAGGCGAGGAGTCCAGGTTTGTGACTGCCGCCACCAGATCTCTTTGATCAAGGTGGATGGGGGTGCAGAGATTCTGAGGTAACACACTTGCATGTCACACTTGTAGACATGCGCACAAGCTCAACATGTCCACCAGCAACTGCCACACACACCCCCCGTGTGGGTGGGTGTGGGGCCGGTGATCATTGTCCGCGGCCCAGTTCAAGGCAGCCCACAGACTGGCACCGGGCCACAGACCGGGGGTTGGGGAACCCTGGTTTAAATAGAGAGTCCTCCAAGTATACTGTATTCTGGTAATATGCAAATTCACAAACAAATCTGGATTAGGGAGTTTTACTCTTAAAATTATCTGTCTGTAATCACTGGCTGGATAGTTAGGTGAGTTAAGTAGTTAGGTTCCTGATTGTAGAACCCCAGGTTGGTAGGTCAATTCCCCACTGCCTAGAGGGGAGGCAGCCTGTGTGGCCTTGGGCAAGCTGCAGGGTGCCCTAAGAAAAAGGGAACAAACCACTTATGACTTCTCTATACTTAGAAAATCCTGGAAATTGGTTGCCATAAATCAGAACTGACTTGATGGTACTTGATTATCAGCTTCCAGTGTGGTGTTTTAGTGTGACAAACTAGATTCAAGTCTCCTCTTGGCCATAGCAATTCACTAAGTGGAGACACTGGTAAAACCACTCCTAAATATCTCACATAATTTGAAAACGACTAGGGTCACCATAAATTGGATGCAACTTGGCAGTATGTGACAACAATATACTTTAATTAGTTCATTATTCTGAGAACCTTAGTCTATAAATAAATAAAATTTTAATAATAAAAAAATGGAATGCCCATGCCTGCTCATTGCCTCACTGATACCTCTGACAAAGAACAAACAGGAAGTTCAGAACAGTTGAGGATTTGTTGAACTAAAATAAATGTGGGATAATAACCTCATGAACATATTAGTATAGTAGCACATGATTTAGAAGAATGTCTCATTAAGGCTACAATCGTATACAGTGGTGCCTCGCATAGCGATGTTAATTGGTTCCAAAAAAAACATCGCTATGTGAAACCATCGCTATGCGAAACACCATTTCCCATAGGAATGCATTGGAAACCGGTTAATCCGTTCCAATTGGAACGGATTGCCGTTGTTAAGCGAAAAAACCCATAGGAAACATCGCTAAGCGAAACAATGTATCCTCCTTTGGAATGTATTGAAGCTGACTCAATACATTTCAATGGCTTTGCGAAGTCAATTTTTGCAATTTTAAATGTGTCATACAAGGGGCAAAAATGGTTTTAAATGCTTGGATTAGCTTCTGCACCCTCTAAAACGGATGCAAAAGTTAATTTGGCTTTGATCTGACTTTTC